CCTGAACAAGACAGATAAATTGGAACTTTGGTTTTGAGTTTCTCTATTATTAGCAATTTTGACACACTTAATCTTTGGAATACCTCTGTATTACTTCTTTTGATACTTTTACTTTTAAACAAGTCAGTTGTGAAGTGGTTAGAAGATTTCCACTTCTGATCAGTACAGATAAATTTTATTAAATCCCATTCTTAGTTTCCCAGAAGATATTGGTTTTCAGTGCATTATAAGTGCCCTTGTTTTCTCCTTTGAAATAACAGATAGGGGTTGGATTTGACACCCTTATGAGTGCATACTGTATTTCTAAAGAGCAGCTGGAATGGAAAATTTTTTACCTAAGACCATTTTTTGACGAAAGAACATTGAGCTATTTCATTAAAACAAGTACTTTATATTTAAGGGCCTCTAGAAATATACAATCAATAGATGTATGAATACGAGCTTCTATTAATTGAAAGTCTTCTTTGCACAGATTATCATTATTACAGTTTATGAGATGGGCACCACTACTATGCTAGTTGTACAGATGAGAGACGTGAACAGCAGAGTAACCAGAGTAACTAGGGTCATGTATCTGTTAGGGGTAGCATTGATTTGAAGGATACCAAAGACTTTTAAGAATTTTCTCCACTTTCAAAAATAGTAGAAAAGCAGACTTCAGCTCAAGATAAAGAAACTCTGCGCAGAGTCATGTGAAAATGGGTAAGGCTGCCTTGATAAGCAGTAAGTTCCCTTCCTGAAGACAGCAAAGGGGCCAAGGGACTTTGGGAAGAGGCATCAAAGGTTAGTTGTAAGGATGCTTCTACCCCTGAGATTAAATGATTGTCATAGTGTCTCATTTTTCTCATCAGTAAAAATGAGGAAAATGTTATTAATAGAAAAGCTGTTGCTAAAATGGCACATTGTTAGTAATTTGCAAGTGAGTCCACTCTTTCTACTCTTGTCAAGCAAACAAAATAAATTGTTCTGCAAAGTCCTCAATCAAAAAATCAAAATTATTTTACATTTTACCCACATTATATTTTAAAGCTTCAAGCAATTATCAAACGGCCCTAATTCACCAACTGCAGGGGTAAGGGTAAAATTAAGAAATGGTAAATAGTTGCCAATCATAGGTTAGATTCTAATAGTGAAGAAAATCCATTCAGTCCATGATCATTATTTATCTCGGGACTTAAACAGTAACTGTAATTGTATTCTTTGGACACCAAGTTGCCACCCAACCCCCACCCCATCCCACAGTTAATTAGCTGGGCAGGTCTTATAACAAATACCCACTCAGAAGCACTGGGTGGTAGAAATGCTGTTGATAATTAACACCACAATAGCATGGAGCCTGTTTCAGGAGCACAGAGTAGTCTTACCCCAGCTGGACTGCCTGCCACACACCCACAGACCCTCTATTGTGCTGGCTATGACGGCTCCCAGGGACGGTTGCTTGGCTGGAGAAGGGACCAACTGCAATGGGAGAGAAGGCCAAACTTTCAAGAGAGCAGGAGTGCGCAGTTCACGGGGGAAATATCCAGTGGGTGAAAGTGAAAGAGAAATGATCGGACACTAGAAAAAGAGAAAGAGATGGGCAGGAAAATCAATCATAAAATAGATTTAGCCTTCCTATTTCCTGAGCCCAACCAGCCAGCCAAAATGAGTTCACCAATATCAGGCCAAATAGTGATTAGAAAATTGCAATATTTAAATAATAGGCTGATTTATATTCCATTTGGTTTACAAAGAAATTCAATGAGTTTTTTAAGGTTTTTAAGGAAATAATGTCTAAGTCATCCCACCTTCCTGGGTTTCACTTTCTTCATCTTTAAAACAAGGATGTTGAAATGGTTCCCATTCCTGGGTTGAAAAAATAGGATGAGGTTCCCAGACATTTTCTAAGGAGTCAAAAGCCTACCCTATCACTGTATTATTCAAGATAAAATTACTTAGTGTAATATAATTATATTTCCTTGCTTCTGCTTAAAGTATATTAACTCAGATTGATTATCTCATCAGAACAGATGCTTCTGCTGGCACTCTAACAGGTCATTAATAATTAGGAAAAACATGATTACTTTATAAGTCAGCTGGTTAGGTAGCAAAAAAAAATCATGCAAAGGAGTGTTTTATTCAGCTATAAAAAGTCCATTGGAAAAATACATAAAGATTTGCTTGGTGAAATAGTTGGAAGCCATCAGCTCTCTCTCTCGCTTGTCCAAGTAATTACCTCTGACAGCAGAGGCAAGTGAGTGAGTATCTTCTCTAGGGTACCTGGGGACTGGATCTGAAAACAAGGAGAGCTCTCTATTTCATTTTTTTTTAATTTTTTCAATGCTTAGCAAAATTTCCATTCTCCCCCATAATAAATGGGTCTGTCCCTAATTCTAATAGCATGCTTTCATCGAAATCTGCATGTAAAATTGGAAAGTCCAGGGAGACACAGATCTTCATACTGTGGTTTCAGAGATTCTACTACATCCCCACCCACCCGTCATCGCTATGGTATTCCGTTGGAGTTCTGTTGTATCCCGTTTTGAAGACCACAAGGAATATAAATAATCTTGGAAAGTTCACCTGGCTATAAGGCTGTGGAGCTCCCTTGTTAGCCTCTGAAGAGGCAAAAGGCTTTAGCACAACTTTGCCTTTTTCCACAACTCAAATTTCATCCAGTCTAATGCCTAGGAGTAAAGGAAAGGTGCGGGAAGAAAATGTGCGGTGCTAGCGAAAGCAGGAAAAATGTCAGGGCCCAGCACAGCTCAAGAGAAGCTGTCCATCTGAAATGCCACCTGGAATTCACACCAGTAATAACTGTTGTGGATATAAAAATTAATAGCGGGGATTTCATAGTATTAGAAAAATTTATTTGTATAAATCATGTGTCTATCACCCAAGTGTTGACACATGCATGCAATTCAAACATCAGACCTACAATAAAGGCTCACTGAATAACTTCACAAGGACAATTCCCCCATTTTCTCTGCAATTTGGAGTGGAAGGAGGAGGGGGGAGTGGGGAGAGGGTGCAGTTACTGGGTCAATTAATCAACCTGAAAACTGTGACACAAACTCTGACGCCTAACCTATGTCTAAAAATACACAAATGCATACGAATTTGTTTTAAACTGTCAATGCCTATATTTAGGACTTTCCCAGCAAGGCTATAATGAGACTGTGTTTGAGGGTTTCAGTCATAGCAGACTCTACCATTAATCTGCAGTTAGTTAAATTAACAGCATTTAGTACTGACTTGTCAATCTCACTACTCCAGGAAATTGCACCTTGAGGCTACTAATATTGCCAATTTTTCCACTGGAGTGTGTGTGTCTGAGTTTGTGTGTGTGTGTCCGTGTGTGTGTGTCTGTGTGTGTGTATGCGTGTATGTTTTTATCTCCAAAACGTCCATGTCCATGCACCAACGTTGCTTCCCTACATCCACAGCACTTATCATTTATCCTGGCCTCCTTCAGCCTTCCCCTGGGGGTTCTGCACAGTGTAGCTGCTCAGTGAAAGAGTTTTTTAGCTTTATATTTATTTGTTTATTTTTCTGTCATGGCTCATGACTGAGACTTTAAAAAAAAAGTGTGACAGTATTTAGAGTACATGATTGACTGCTATGGCAACATTCATTAACCATGACAAATCTGTAGCAAAACACAGTCCTGAGTGTTCTAAACAGAAACTTTAAAAAGAAAGAAGAAAGAAAGAAAAAGAAAAAAGACTCCACTAATTTTTCATTGACCTCATCAGTAAATAAATTTAGACTGATGGTGCGCAAGGGCAATAATAAATTAGTATTCATTTCCTGCAATTAATGCAAACATGCCTATGAACACAGAGAATATGAATATGTAACCACCTCGTTTCCATTTCAAAATACACCTAACAAATTTTCACTTCAGTTATCTTCATAATATTTTCCCCCCCTTAATTAGGAGAATGTAATGGATGATTTTCTTTCCCACCCACCAGGGGGAAATATTGATTTGGTCACAGGGACCATCAAACATTTCAGCAACCAATCTATAGACCTTGTTTCTGATTTATTTCAGCATTTGCGATCGCCTACCACATTTCCACCGAAAGGCTGATTTCTTTCTTATCAGTGACCACGAGGGACTCCTCCTGAAGTGACCATGGGATCCCATGGGTCCTTGCATGCTTAAGAGCCATTAACAGGCTATGAGAAGCACAAGAATGGGAAAGTTCTATCATTGAAACTTTCACTCACATAGATAGATTAGGTAAATGAGACAACATAAATCAAATGAAGATTACTATGCATTAAGTAAAACATAAATGCCAAGTTCTGCAGCCTCTCTTGGCAAAAGGAGCTGTTCAGGCTGGCTCCTTCAGGCAGAGGCACCTCTGGAAAATTCATCCTATGATCGGACCACAATCAAAGGTGATCACACCCCAGTTTTTCAGCCGTCAGATCTCACTAACTCAACTGTGGCACCCATGGCACAATACTTTATTTAGTAATAAAAAGATCCATAAGAAGAAAGCTATACCTCTCAAACATGCACACAACATTTTCTGTATGCCTGGAAGAATGTGATAGGAGCACAAAATCTGTATCAGCTTCTACCGAAAACCCAAACAAAAACAAACAACTTTGGGACATACAACTTGCCTCCTGGTAACCTCTCCTAGAACTTTCCAGCCTTTAGAGCTTTTGCCCCTGTGTGTTTTTGCCTCTAAATGTCCTGCAAACAAATCTGGGCAATTATACTTATCTGTGCTAAGCAACTAATTGGAATGTATGTTACAGGAGGGCCTGAGAGCAACTGACAGTATCTTAATTTGATGAATACACCACTCGATCTGACTGTAAATGTCACTAATTAGACCTTTTCATAATAAGATAAGTTCATAATGAATACAGATCCCACTTTGTCCTGGCTTTTTTAAAAAACCCATCATAGACTGTGCACTTTCAGGTATCAGGTATAGCCTGCCAATACAGTAGCGTCTCCCCAAAAGAGAGGAGTCATCCTATTTCTTCCCCCTTAGTTGTCAGCCTGGAAAGCCGCGCGACACACCTCAACACACTGGTCCAGGAGGCCCAGGACAGGGTGAGTGAACTGTCTGCCCAGGTGGAGAATGAAGGATTCACTCCGGACAACACAGAGAAAGAGAAACAGCTGAAAGCTTGGGAGTGGAGGTATCGGCTCTACAGACGCATGAAAACGGGCTTCGAACATGCCAGTGAGTATACTCAGAAAGGCTTCTGCGTTTGACTAGACTGAGCTTTGGTGTGAGACAGCCAGGCCTTCCTTTCCAGACTTTTTTTTTTTCACTCCACAGGGTCATGGATGGCTGTTGTTGGCCTATTTGGAGCAAGGGCTTTGAGAAGCTGAAAAAGGGTCTGTGTCTTGCTTGATTTTCTGGCTCTTGACAGTTTCTCTAACCATAGCTAGGACACCTAAGTGCTCCTGGCGCCCCCTTCACCATATCGCACTCATCTAGCACTTTCCACCTGCTACACCCCAATCCTAATGACCCAAATGGTCTGATGCACTGAGTGGCTATATTTTGGGATGTGGAAGTGGAAATATATTTGCCTATTTGTCTTGTTTCTGCTTCAAGCTCAAGTTTAAGTTGTTTTCAACTCTGCTGCATTTTTTTTTAATACAGAGCTATAAACTGAACTTCAATTAATGCAAGTAACAGAGAAGGACAGTCAGTCAAATCTGCCTGTGAATTATGGTTTGTTTGTTTTTTTGTTTTTTTGTTTTTTTCTGCAGTTCCTCTCTCTTTACCAATTCTTCTTGTTAACTTAAGGAAAACCATTTTGGATAATGCTCATCACCAGTGGAAAGTACTGCTGAGTGAAGCCCCCAGTATAAAAACAAAATATATAGCCAGCCCAAATACTTGTGAAATATTAAACTCTCATTCTAGAAGATTTTATTTGAATAACAAAAAAATTTAGAATTGAAATTTAAACACAATAAAAAAGTCAGTTCATTCAACTGAAGTGCTCTGCTTTTGCCTAGAAAATCTTCAAATGAACAAACTAAATCGAATATAGAAAAAGGCCAAAGGGCAATGAAAATGATTTTTTGGGGAGCACTCACACTGATCCCAAATCTAGTCCTGCCCTTTCCTTTGAAACAAATAACTCCAGCAGGATTGATGAAAGGCTGCTCTCAGCATCAATAATCTCAGCAGTGCTGGTATGTGGACTTTTACAAAGGCTCAGCAATTGCATTAAGAAGTGCATTTGCCACTGTGCCATACTGAGGACAGATTATTACTAGAAAGAGAAATCTTTTTAGGCTGGATGCCCGATTTCATCATTTTCTATGTTACAAAACATTTTCTGAGTGCTAAGGAATGACTTAAAATCATCGTCAGCCCTCTGAAGCCTGAAGTTAGTAGGCATGACATGTGCCCACCCACAGTTTTTCTTAGAAACAGACCAAAAACAAAGTGAGTTAGAACTCTATCTTAGACAGGGCCCAGGTTCAGTCATCCGAAGCCACAGGCTTTGGTCCCATGTGTGTCTTCACCATGTTCTGAACAAAGAATTTGGCCTCTTTGGCCCTCAGTATCCTCATCCCAAAAGTAAAAGTACTATTACTTGCCCTTTCTCCCCAGCAAGGCTGCAAAATGTCTCAATGATATGATTTACGTCAAAGTACCCTATGAACTGTATCTAAATAGGAAGCTGTGATCACTTTCTGTCCCTTTCTTGCTGGTGCAGCCCAAATCTCTTATTGTATTTCCAGGACAGTTTGGGAAGATTCCTCCAGCATTATTTACCCCTTCAGAAGACATTCTAATAAATCAAACACACAAGCTTAAATATCACATGGCTTCTCTTATATGCGAAACCCGAAATATAAATAAAGAGCAAACTAAAGGAGAGATAATAAGAAGTGGGATAATATATGTTTCTCAAATAGGAAAGAGAACCAAAAGGGAAAGGGGAGGATGAAAAAAGGAATTAAGATGTTATATGCATGTCCAACTCCGCACAAGAAGTATAAACATTATGTGCTGCAAATACCTACCAATAAAACAATTTAAGAAAAAGAAGACCACAATGGCAACAAATGAAAGCCATTGAGACTTCTAACAAAAATATTCAAAATAAAAGCTGTCAGACTCTATGGTGTTTCCATAGTGTCCCCATAGTGTCTGTTTCCTGGTACCCTGTGAACAGTTAGGAACATTGTTTGAAAAGGATTTGGTGAGCTGAGATCCTTGTTTTTCCTCCTATGCCAGGAGCCCCCGAGATGCCAACCAATGCCTGTCTCATGGTAACCAGCAGCGTGTCTCTCACCGTCACCTTCCAAGAGCCTCTCAGTGCCAATGCAGCTGTAGTGACCAGGTATAAAGGTACTGCACTCCCTATATCTTCTCCCCACTCCTGCAGAGAAACAAATCTGTGGCTTGAGGGCTAATTGTGCATTTTGTGTGTTTGGTATTCTTGCCGATAGGATCATTTTCATCCCATTTACTTTCGAGGTTTAAATACAAATGTAAGCACACATGTGAAGGAGCAATAAGGTGACTGAGAATAAGTCACGAAAAGGATGAACCACAGGACCCGGCTGTCGATCCAAACTTCTCAGTGAATGTGCCATTCATGTTTGCAGAGTGTCTGCTTTGTGCAGAGCACAGAGTTGGGATATGGAACGTACTGAAAAATCAGGCCCCATCCAAGGAGCTGAAAGGCTGGAATGTGGAACATAAATAGGGGGCATATAAACTGATGACTGTAATACCAGGTGAAGCACACTGGGGTCAAAAGAGACCAAGGGGATGGTAAAATGGTCAAGGGATCCATAAAGGCTCCAAGTGAGAGGTGGCATTCAGGCCTGACTTGCAAAAATGGTCAAAATTTGGACTATAAGATATTGGCAGAGAGAAAAAAATTCCAAACGAAGAGAACAATAAGCATTGGCATAAAAACAAGAAGACACAGAGACCAGGGAGGAGAACATGGGACATGTAGAGAGTATGGGTATGTAACCATTTGGCTTCCCTGGGCTGCACTGGGGAAGAGGACCTGTCTTGGGACACACATAAATTACATAATGTAGCTCATGTATATAAAAAGTAAAGTTTCCTTTTTCATATTTCCATTATAACATTAAAAAACAAAGAACAAAGGCACAAGTTTAATAATTAATAGAAAATTTACGTGTCTGCTTAATAACAATAAACACCCATCCTCACAGGTACACAGACCTATGTAGGTAGGTTAAAATAACTATCACCAATAACCGCTGTGTTTTAATAGCCACGTTGCACAAGTACATGCAACATCTGATACATTTGGGTTCCATTCCACTGTGCGTGGTTGGCTCACGAGCTAGAGTTAGGGCTACGCCTCGCTCTCCCTTCACAGCTCCCATTAGCTCCTACGTAGTCCACCTTCCAGCAGCACACAGTCAAATGATGAAAAATATCGCTGAAAATCACATAACAATGTGAGAACTTTATGATCCTGTGGGGCTTCACTGGTAGCTGTCCAGGGCTGTGTGTCAGATGTAACCGCTGTAAAGGGAACTGAAACTAACATGGTTCCAGAGAAGCGCAGGTTCAGAAGGTGCAGTGAAAGGTACAGTAGGAGAGTAAACCTAGGATCTGTGGGCTACAGTGGAGCTGGCTGGCATTTGAGGTCTAGGACTTTAGACTTTGTGTAATGAGTTCTGAAAAGACACTGAATAAGATAGGTAGAAGATGGCAGAAGCTTGGAAGTGTCAATGCTGTACATGATGTATTGGGAGAGATATGGATTTAGAATAAAGAAACTTATTCAGGAGAGATTGTGACAGCCTGAGCTGGCTACAGTGGCAGCACTAGGAAAACAGGAAAAGCCCAGAGGGAGAGATCTACAGCCAGTGCTTACTGGCACCTACTATGCACCAGGCACTGCTTACACCTGCATGCATGAACTCTAGCCAGTCTTCACAGCTACCTTATGAATTGGCACTGTCAGTTCCCACTTTACAGGTGAAAAACCTGAGGGAATGAAAGATTAAAGGATTTGCCTAAAGGCTCATAGCAGAGCCAGAGTCATCCCATTCTGGTGACTCTTAAATGTAGAGGACAAAAAGGAACAAGAGCTAGTTTTGTGGTTCACTCACAAGGGCATATAGAACTGCACCAAATAGCCCTGAAGCCTGACGGATTTCCATGCCTAGTCCAAGGTGGCAGATCATACGTAAACTTACAAATTTCAGTCACTACTGCTCCCTCTGCCTGCAATAATGTTCCCACGGGTCACATGTCATCCTTTCTCTTCCCAGGACAGCCTTGTATGTGCCTGCAGATACTCCTCTGCCCATACTCAATAGGCTGTTGCCTGTTTGGAATTTTCCAAATACTTTCACTCTGTACTATTTTAGGTACGATAGGACCAGACTGCTTGTCACTAGGTCTTCTGTGTCAACCTAAGAGGAGGCAGCCTCGGATATTAACAACAGCACAGTAATGAAGCCAGCCAGGTGGCCTCCCACAGCCACCCTTTACAACAGTTCTAATGCTTTCTCTTGGTCATCTCATCTGCCAAGGCTGACATTCAGAGCAAGTGTTGCAAGCAGCAGAAGACATGGGCATTTCCTTTTTTTCTACCTCTTTCCAGCTCAGGATTGTGACAAAGGGTTTTATCGGTGCTGCTCGACTTGATATTTCCTTCTTATGTTTGATTAGTGAGCTAACAGAAGCTAATTTATCCAGACTGCCAGCTGTTCAATACCTCACCATAAAGCTAGCAAATTCTTTCGGCATTCACATATTAACATTTCTCATCTCAGGAGGCTTACATTTGGGTAAGGTTGAAACAAGAGGTCACAAGTGGGTTCTGTTAGTGCCTGGAGAGGATTAATTAAGCATTATAAATAGAATTGTCTGTTGCATTATGGAGTAGGTTTCCTTGTGATAATTTATAAGGACATAAATTGAGTCCTTAACCTGACCACTCTCAGGGGTTATTTAAACCAGCTGGCAGCCCACCGTACCCACAGAGACAGCAAGTCAGTTTTTAATTCAAGGGTTGAAGTAATTATTTAATTTGGAAATATTAGCAATATTACCCTGAGACAGGGCTGATTATATTGTTTGCTTTTTAAAAAACAGAAGAAACAATTGAGAAATCCACAGAATGAAATGGCAATTATCTGATTGGTTAGAGGAGAAGATCCTGTAGTATTTAGGGTTTGGCAAGAATGTCTCATCCTACTCTCCAGAATTTCTGGGTTCAGTGAAACCTCAAGCCTATTTGACAACTGTTTTCCCCTCTTCATGCTTAAGCCAGTATACTTTTGAAGAAAAATGGGAATCTTTCTGTTTCCCATATATTTACACTCGACTCATCAACTTGTTTTCTAAGAGTTTGTTGATATGCAGTAATCTTTTTCAGAGCGTCTCTTCATATGTCTTCTTTAGATGCTAGGACCACACACCACACCAACCATCGTCACAGCTCAAGAGATTTAAGGCATCAATTACAGCTTAAGACCCAGGAAACTATTTTCAGTGAAATCCACAACATTTTTCTGTCTGCATTGGCCCTGAGTATAAGGGCAAGGGGTGTTCTAGGTGTTTCCTCCTTAGACCCAAAAAGCCCTTGCATCTTTCCATTTCTATCTCCAACTGCCATGGCTTACCAAGAAATGCTAGAGTTCTCTTGGTTGCTTGGGTGATTTGGACCATTTCCAGAACTTAGTTACACATTTTCTCCTCATAGCCTTGGGTAACCTGCCTGAATCTCTCATTTGCTGATTATATGTTTATATTTCTGCAGGGGCAAAGCAGAAAACATTTTAAATAGTCCTTTTGCTGCTCTTTACAGGACTATGGAGTGAGTAGGAGGGCATCTTGTAACAGGTTCAGTGCAACATCTGTCTTCCATCCAAAGGATAAAATATTTTCTACCTTTTCTTAAAGCAGGGCTTAAACTCATGATGCTTTTAAGATTCACTGAGTATGAGGTGCTACAATAGTTGCTGCAGGGCTTGTAAGTGGTACCCCATTTCTGGATGTACGCTTCCCCTCCTGTTTCCCACCTTGCTCCTTGGCAGATTAGAAGTCCTGGCTCTTTGCTATAAAACCTTACTGTTTAACTGCTCTTCACTTCATTTCTTTCTTTCTTTTTTTTTTTTTTTTAATAAAAAAGCATTTCGACTTAGAGATTGCTACTGCCTTCAGGGAGCCAATAGTGTACATGCCAGTGCCTCTGCCAACCACCATCTCCAGGTTCTTAGAAAGGCGGGAGGCCAGAGAATCCCAGAAAGATGTCCTGGGTGATCTCGGCTTCCAAGACAGAGTCCCCCATTTACACACCGAAGCCTTCTGTGTCATTCATTTATAATGAGTGCCAGTCACCTCTCCACAAGTCTTGAGGAAACCCTGACTTCACAGAGCATGGGTTCACGTGGCTCAGTGACTCATATCATTTTTACCCCTACTATTTTTCTTCTCCTACACTTTGTACTTGTAAAGATATGCATCCGCCAAGAAAATGCATTGCATTAAATAATGCATTTTTCATGTTCAAGTATTTGAAGAACTGATCTAATCATAAGTATAAAGCAGCTGGCCACATTACTAGATTGAAGCGATATGATTCAATGAAACAAAACCATTTATAATTTCATTTAGCCTGCTTAGGTTTGGAGAGGGAGAGGTGAAGCCAAAGGTGTGCAGATGACAGCAACAAAGACAGAAAATGTTACATCCGGAGAACCTAAAATTCAGCAGATTAATAGTTTTGCACATGGGTGAAAGTGTGAAAGTGAGTTGAGCGATGAAACGTATGGAGAGAGGGAAACAGCAGGTCCAGTGAAAGCAAGAGCTTGGGAAAGGTACAGAGCAGCAACTATGCCGGAGTCATTTCGTCTAAGCTGCTAAGACTTCTCGTTTCCGCTACAAGTTGCTGAGTTGTCAGAATCCAGCCAATTTATTCTTCAACAATATAGTGAACCACCGAAGGGCCTGCTTTTCAATAAGTTATACTGTAAAGGTAACCTTGATTTTATCACTTAAAACAATTTTAGCCCTCAAACAATACAGTTTAGGGTTATATAAAAGGAAAGGTCAAAATCCTCCCTCATCTTTCCCCCAAACTCACATCCCTATCACAAAGTTCATCTCTGCGATGAGTATGAGGGTGTCCTTCAGACCCTTTCCTATGTACATACAGATACAGGCACAGATGTGCAGTCACAATACAAACACATATAGAATAGCACTGTAGCCAACAACAGAGGACAGATGACAGATGACACAGACTAGCGATCCGGTCATCATGGTTTATGTAAGGATATCTATGATGTCCGCACAGGAACAAAACTGCCCAAAAATGCATTTCTCAGGATATATCCCCATAG